ATTCTCCTGCCTCAGCCTCCCGAGTAGGTGGGACTACAGGCACGCACCATCATGCCCAGCTAATTTTTTGTATTTTTTTAGTAGAGACGAGGTTTCACCTTGTTGACCAGGATGGTCTCGATCTCTTGACCTCGTGATCCACCCGCCTCGGCCTCCCAAAGTGCTGGGATTATAGGCGTGAGCCACCGTGCCCAGCCTGAATTTGGTATTAATATGTACATATCTATTCCAAAAATGAATCTTTTTTTGAGACAGATTCTTGCTCTATTGCCCAGGCTGGAGTTAAGTGGCACAATCTCGGCTCACTGCAACCTATGCCTCCTGGGTTCGAGCAATTCTTGTGCCTCAGCCTCAAGTAGCTGGGATTACAGGCGCGTGCCACCACACCTGGCTAATTTTTGTATTTTTAGTAGAGATGGGGTTTCATCATGTTGGCCAGTCTGGTTTCAAACTCCTGACCTCAAGTGATCTGCCCACCTCGGCCTCCCAGAGTTCTGGAATTACAGACATGAGCCACCACGCTCTGCTTGAAATGATTTTTTAAAAGAGCATAGCAATCTGGATGTCCAGTAATAACAGGGTATCATACAGCCATATATGATGCATTTTTATGCTACCATTAGTAAACATGCTTTGGAAGAAGAGAGATGCTATGATATTTAAAATGAAGAAAGATTTTTAAGTTGTATATAGAGTTTCCCAATTTTCTTTTATATATACTTCAAATAAAGACTGAAAGGGAAAGAACTCTACCAGGTTATCAATAATAGTCATCTCTGATTAATGGGGCTATGAGTTAAACTTCTCGGAATTTTTCACTTTCCATAAGGATAACGTTATTATTAGAGGGCAATGTTATTTGAAATAGCTGATTCTATCATCTGTATGCACTATAAGTCATATTTGCCTCTCACTACGGACTGTGGGGAAGACGCAGACCACCATTCTTCAGCTAGATTTAAAGTAAACCATATAAAGTCATTGCTGTTTTAAAAAGATAGAAGGGGCCGGGTGCGGTGGTGGCTGATGCCTGTAATCCTGGCACCTTGGGAAGCCGTGGTGGGTAGACCACAAAGTCAGGAGTTCGAGACCAACCTGGCCAATATGGTGAAATGCCGTCTCTACTAAAAACATAAAAGTTAACAGGGCGTGGTGGTGCACACCTGTAGTCCCAGCTACTTGGGAGGCTGAGGCAGGAGAATTGCTTGATCCCGAGAGGCGGAGATTGCAGTGAGCTGAGACTGCGCCACTGCACTCCAGCCTGGTGAAAGATGAAAGCTTGTAGGGGAATTGTGGCTTGTACATATGAAAGCTCCTACTTACCTTTCAATTGTCTTCATTCCTCTCTACCTTTAAACAAACAAAGCCACAAAAAAAAAAACCAAAATCTTTGTTTTTGGGAAGGAAAACAACTTAAGTACTCAGATCAAAACATGATCTAAAGAAGAGGAGAAAAGGAATGAGAATTGAGAGACTTTTTCTCCCCCTTCTCTTTCCAAAACCTCCATCTCTCCAATGAACTCTGAGTAAATTTACTATATGGAAATGAAGGTTGGTATTGTTTCATTTCAGGGTCGAACAAACTAAATGTGATTTCTGTTGCTGTCTGCAGGATTCTATCAAATCCTCTAAACTTTTTCCTCCTTCCCTAACCTTTCCTGAATCTATGATTTCTTCTAATTGTGCCTACTCCCTCCTCGACATCTCATCTTCTGCACATAAAACAATACTAAACATAGTAGGAACTCAATAAATGGTGGGTAGAAGGAGGGAGGCAGAGAGGGATAGAAAAATGGGTGTGTGGATAGCAAGGGCCCTTACAGAGTGTTCTCGTCTTGGGGGTGAGGGCACATTCAAAAATTATTAATTATTTAATTAATCTTGAAAAAGAGGCCAGTTTTCTAAGGGTGAAATTTGGGCTTGAAGATTGTATGTCGTCTTTGCAACTCTTTCAACTGAGAGACTGAATCCCTAGTCTCAGCTTTGTATGTAAACTTGATCCTAGTTTCTGGCAAGACTTATTCAAACTCTTGGGTAAGTTATAAATATTGCTATGTATAGTAGGGTCACGTCTGCCATTTGCTGGATGGGTGAGATTGGCCATAACTTTATGGAACTGGTATGTACAGAATAAATGCTTTATGCTTTATAGAATCCTGAAGGCTTTATACACCACGTAGGGTCAGTGATTATATTCCATTTATAAAATTTATATTTGGTGAAACTGAAAGAATGGAGATGATGTGGTTTGGCTGTGTCCCCACACAAGTCTCATCTTGAATTGTAGCTCCCTTAATTCCTATGTGTTGTGAGAGGGACCCAGTGGGAGATAATTGAATCACGCGAGCGGTTTCCCCCATACTGTTCTCATGGTAGTGAATCAGTCTCACAAGATCTGATGGTTTTATAAATGGTTTCCCCTTTTGCTTGGCTCTCATTCTTTCTTGCCTGCCACCATGTGAGACATGCCTTTCGCCGTCCACCATGATTTTGAGGGCCCCCCGATGATTGTGAGGCCTCCCCAGCCACATGGAACTGTGAGTCCATTAAACCTCTTTTTCTTTATAAGTTACCCAGTCTCGGGTATGTCTTCATCAGCAACGTGAAACTGGACTAATACAGGAGGTAAAAGGAAGCACACCATGAAAAGAATAAACAACGTGCAGATGGGAATTTATATAATCCTTACACAACTTTTTTTTTTTTTTTTTTTTTTTTTTGAGTCGGAGTTTCGCTCTTGTTACCCAGGCTGGAGTGCAATGTTGCAATCTTGGCTCACCACAACCTCCGCCTCCTGGGTTCAGGCAATACTCCTGCCTCAGCCTCCTGAGTAGCTGGGATTATAGGCACGCGCCACCATGCCCAGCTAATTTTTTGTATTTTTAGTAGAGACGGGGTTTCACCATGTTGACCAGGATGGTTTATATCACCTTTGGAAACCTTTAGAAAGTTCCAAAATCTATCTGAGCCTCAGTTTCCTCATTTGCAATATGAGAGTAATAATTATACTTACCTCCCTAGGTTGCTACGAAGATAGTTAATAGGTGCTCCATAAATATTAATTGACTCTAAGTCTGAATTAACATTTAAAGCAAATGCTAATTTACTTTAAATCTGCCAGGGTAGAAAACACTTCAGGTAGGAGTAACCATTTAAGCTATGGTTTGGAGGGAAAGGAGAAAAAAGTTATCTCAGGTCCAGGATGACAGCTCAAAACCTAGAGAAAGTGGGCATGTCAACTGAGGAGGTTTTTGATTTGGTTTTGTTTCATTGTAATTGTTGGTTTTGTTTGATTGTAATTGTTTTTCCAGGTGTGCTGGCACTGGAAGAACCTAGCTGAGCTGGACCAGCTCTGGATGCTGAAATGTTTACGGTTCAACTGGTGCATCAATTTCTCCCCAACTCCCTTTGAGCAGGGGATCTGGAAGAAGCACTATATTCAAATGGTGAAAGAACTTCACGTTACCAAGCCTAAGGTGAATTTTAGACAAAAAGCCGCAAGCTTACAAAAATCGGCTCTTTGCACATTCCAAAACTAAGAATAAAGAATCAAATTGGAAGTTGGGGAAGGGAGGTAGTTCAAAGGAAATATACTATGATTTCAAAATTCTCCTTTTCTGAGACTTGATGATCATTTTCAAGACACTGATGTTAGTTGAGATCCCTCGTTTGCCACTCCCAAGCCACAGTTGCCTGCAGGCGATTAGGGCCGTAGAACTTCTTTCTCTGTCCAGGTCCCTGATTCCTGTGTCTCTGATGGCGACATCAGACAGTACTGACATGAGGACTCTATGGGTAATGTGAAGTATTTGTTACCTATGGGTCTTCAAATTTTACTTTACTAATTCAAATTCTCTGTGATTCTACCGGGTGAGCTGGTTTATTTTTATATTGTTTATAAGGAAAAGTTTTCTAATAAATGAGTCATTAGGGAAGGGCCTCATGGGCATATTAGAATTCTTAGTTTTGGCCTGGCATAGTGGCTCACACCTGTAATCTCAGCACTTTGGGAGGCAGAGGCAGGCAGATCACCTGAGGACGGGAGTTTAAGACCAGCCTGACCAACATGGAGAAACCTCGTCTCTAATAAAAATACAAAAAAAATTATCCAGGCGTGGTGGAACATGCCTGTAATCCCAGCTACTCGGAAGGCTGAGGCAGGAGAAACACTTGAACCCAGGAAGTGGGGGTTGTGCTGAGCCAAGATCATGCCATTGCACTCTACGCTGGGCAACAAGAGCGAAACTCCATCTTACCAAAAGAAAAAAGAATTCTTAGTTTTTGCTAGGAACTAAGCAACGTAGAACATTTACATATATTCACAAAAAGTAAGTAATGCAAGAATAATTTTTCTAGTGCCTTCCTATGCATTCTAACCAATGCTTATATTCACTCATATAGTTCCCGGCTAATGAGATAATTTATGAGAAAATTTTATGAGCCCTTTGTTTATAGCATTCTCTATACATACGCAGATTTGTGCATCATTTTGTACAATAGATGAGTTCCTGAAAAATTATATGTAAATTAAAGTTTTAAAATGATTTTTAAAACCACAGGGGTATTAAAGCTTGTAAAAAACTGCAATGAATCCTGTTAAAACTAGAGAATCCTTTTGAAATATGAGCAGTCTACTCCTAGCTTGCCGATTTCGGTTTAGGCTTTGTTGTGTTTTCTGGAAATAGACTCCATCTGTACTTAATACAGTAATAAACTATGCATAATTAATGTTGTTACAATTGCAATGATAAAAGTCTTTCTGATTTTAGTAGTTGGTATGCTCCATGAGGATTTCTTTTAAAAGGAGAGTTTTAAGTGCAGATTTTTAAAAGTTCTTTTGAAAATTCCTGTAGCTCTGACTCCTTTCCTAGTGAGACTTCTCTTGTACCTCCTTCTCAGAGAGCAGGGAGTGGCCTTCAATAGCTGAAGCTCAGGCTGTTCAGGGGCAGAGGAGAAAAAAGTGATTAACCAACTAGTAGAATGAAAAGAAGTCGTGAGTTTTATATATATAACTGATTTTGGGGCCAGGCGCAGTGGTTTATGCCTGTCATCCCAACACTTTGGGAGGCCAAGGCGGGAGGATTGCTTGAGGCCAGGAGTTTGAGACCAGCTTGGATAACATAGGGAGACCCTGCCTCTACAGAAAATTTACAAATCAGCTGGGTGCAGTAGCACACTCCTGCAGTTACAGCTACTTGGGAGGCTGAGTTGGGAGGATCACTTGAGCTCAGGAGGTCGAGGCTGCAGTGAGCTGTGGTTGTGCCACACTCCAGCCTGGGTGACAGAGAGACCCTGACAAAAAAAAAAAAAAACTTTCCCCCCAAAAAACAAAACAAACACCCCCCCCGATTTTAATGCTTTGTTTTCAGTAATAATTATTTTCCACAAAGTATTTATATATAACTATATTGTAAAATAATGAACATTGTAGATTATGTGCAAGAAAATTGTCACTTCTTTGCTTGGTATTACATTTCTGCAGGGAATATGTTATTCTATGAAAGTTAAATTTTATTCTGTTAAAGACATGAACCTAAATCAGAAAGGTTGAGAAAATCAACTAATAAACTTAAATCCATCAGTTAAAGAAAGAGCCCTGGCCAGGTGCGGTGGCTCATGCCTGGAATCCCAGCACTTTGGGAGGCCTAGGTGGGCAGATCAGCTGAGGTGGGGAGTTTGAGACCACCCTGACCAAAATGGAGAAACCCCATCTCTACTAAAAGTGCAAAATTAGCCAGACGTGGTAGCACGTGCCTGTAATCCCAGCTACTCCAGAGGCTGAGGCAGGAGAAACGCTTGAACCTGGGAGGCAGAGGTTGCAGTGAGCCAAGATTGCACCACTGCACTCCAGCCTGGGCAACAAGAGCGAAACTCTGTCTCAAAAAAGAAAAAGAAAAAGAAATAACCTTAAGTCAGAAAGACTAAAGTTAATAGTCATCTGATGAAGCTTAATAAAGTCAACTGTCAGCACTACACATACTTGTATAATTCCCTGTGAAGTGGCTCCAGTGACACAATTTACCTTCCCTCAAGCAAAAGCACCATCCCTCTTTCCTGCCAGGACTTTGTACCTGGCATGGGCTCCAGCAGAGACTGTGAAAGCACGTTATGAGCAGGTGGGAGTGGTTAATACTAGTCTCCCCAGCCTTAAAATGAGAGGGCTGGCTGGGCACAGAGGCTCACACCTGTAATCCCAGCACTTTGGGAAGTTAAGGCAGGAGGACCACTTGAGCCCAGGACTTCCAGACCAGCTTGGGCAATGTAGGGAGACACTGTCTCTATTAAAAAAAAAAATTTAAGTGAGAGAGCTGAATTAGGATGATCTTTAAAACTGTCTGTAAGCCTACGCTACCTTTGCCAGAAACCATAATTTCAAAAAGACTTCCGACTAGAAAAAGAAGAATAAATGAAATCCAAAGTAGATAGAAGGAAGAAATAAGGAAGTGGAATCAGACATCGAAGACAACAGAGGAAAGAAATTAAACCAAAGGTGGTTCTTGGAAAACATAAATAGAATCTCTGTATTTCTAGCCAGGCTAATTAAGAAAAAGGAGAGAAAAACACAAATTAGTAACACCATGAATGAAAGCAGGGGCATCATTACAGATTCTTAGACGTTGAGAATATTATAAACAGCTTCACGTTTCTGAATTCAACAACCTAGATGAAATAGACAGATTCCCAAAACTGACTCCATAAGTAATAGAAAGCATGAATGAATCGATATTGATTTAAAATTGAATCATTAGTTTTTCCATTTTCACAGAGCCCCAGACTCAGATAGCTTCACTGGTAAATTCTCTCACACATTCAAGGAAGAAATAATACCAATTTTACACAACCTCTTTTAGAAAAGAGAGGAAGAGGGAACACTTCCCAGCTCATTACCCTTATTCCAAAACCAAAGACTTCTCAAGGAAACAAAACTGCAGACAAATATCCCTCATGAATATAGACATAAAAATCTTTACTTGCAGGGAAAAGGCAATTTATCTTTTTAAAAGAATTTAAAAAAAATTTTTTTTAAATTATACTTTAAGTTCTGGAGTGCATGTGCAGATCTTGCAGCATTGTTAAATAGGTATACACATGCCATGGTGGTTTGCTGCCTCCATCCCCCCGTTATGTACGTTAGGTATTTCTCCCAATGTTATCCCTCCCCAATCTCCCCACCGCCCCCCGCTATCCCTTCCCTAGTCCCCTACACCCCAACAGACCCCAGCGTGTGATGTTCCCCTCCCTGTGTCCATGTGTTCTCATTGTTCAATACCCACTTATGAGGGAGAACATGCGGTGTTTGGTTTTCTGCTCTTGTGTCACTTTGCTGAAAATGCTGGTTTCTGGATTCATCCATGTCCCTGCAAAGGACATAAACTCATCATTTTTTATGGCTGCATAGTATTCCATGGTGTATATGTGCCACATTTTCTTTATTCAGTCTATTATTGATGGGTATTTGGTTGGTTCCAGGTCTTTGCTATTGTAGACAGTGCCACAATGAACATACGTATTCATGTGTCTTTATAATAGAACGATTTATAATCCTTTGGGTATATGCCTAGTAATGGGATCGCTGAGCCAGATGGCATTTCTAGAACCTTGAGGAATCACCACACTGTCTTCCGCAATGGTTGAACTAATTTACACTCCCACCAACAGTGTAAAAGCGTTCCTATTTCTTCACAGCCTCTCCAGCATCTGTTGTCTCCAGATTTTTTAATGATGGCCATTCTAACTAGCATGAGATGGTATCTCAGTGTGGTTTTGCTTTGCATTTCTGCAATGACCAGTGATGATGAGCATTTTTTCATATGTTTGCTGGCCACATAAACATTTTCTTTTGAAAAATGTCTGTTCATATCCCTCACCCACTTTTTGATGGGGTTGTTTGTTTTTTTCTTGTAAATTTCTTTTAGTTCTTTGTAGATTCTGGGTATTAGCCCTTTGTCAGATGGGTAACTTGGAAAAATTTTTTCCCATTCTGTTGGTTGCCGGTTCACTCTAATGCTAGTTTCTTTTGCTGTGCAGAGGCTGTGGAGTTTAATTAGATCCCATTTTTCTATTTTGGCTTTTGTTGCCATTGCTTTTGGTGTTTTAGTCATGAAGTCCTTGCCTATGCCTGTGTCCTGAATGGTACTGCCTGGGTTTTCTTCTCGGCTTTTTATGGTGTTAGGTCTTAGGTTTAAATCTTTAATCCATCTAGAGTTAATTTTTGTATAAGGTGTCAGGAAGGGGTCCAGTTTCAGCTTTCTGCACATGGCTAGCCAGTTTTCCCAACACCATTTATTAAACAGGGAATCCTTTCCCCATTGCTTGTTTTTGTC